AAAAAATATTAAACTAGGGTGTAAATGAAATTCAAGTCAATTAAATGAAATTAACAGTCACTATTTCTTTTGTTTTGAAAAGAGGAGGGGATAGTATGACCTTTTTAAGAAAAGAGAATACGAGAAGAAAGCGATAGGTACCTTAGCATGCTAATGATGATTGCCCTGAAAGCCACTGATTATGCTCATACATCCGAATTATAAAGGAGCTGAAACTTGGGTAACCCCCTCCACAATAAGCCTTTCGTGTTTTGAATATGCAAGACAAAATTGTATTTATATCGTGATTACATTTCCTTAAGGTAGGAGTAACATTACTTATCCAGGCATTGGGAAACGAAAAGTAGATTTTGTTTTCATGATTATGCATACCTTTGCCACTTCAGAGGTATCAACACTAGTATCCGTACTCCTCAGACACATTTTCAGATTATTGTACAGCATGCATATGACCCAACCTATAGGCCTGTGTCACCAATAGTATTCAGAGTAACATCAAACTCCCAGTTTAGTTAGCAATACGCTCAACTTTACATTATCACATGATGGAAAGTACTCTGTGCTTTTAGAAATACTTAAAGAAGAGGAGAATAAGGAGTGCTTAACTTACAAAAGACTCGCATTGTCTTGCATTGATGTCATTCATACATTTGAGTTAGATATGAATGGAACTATAACTAACTATCATATTCAAAACTGCATAGATAGCTTTGACTAACAACCTATATTCAATATTTACGTAGATAATCAAAATAATCTAATTTTTGCTTTGAGGCTTTTTTTCTTCCCAAAAAGTGTAGCAGTAAAGTAACTTGAAATTCCAAAGGTTAAGGCTAAAGCAAGACTTTCATGTAAAAGATACGGATGGAAATTGGCAAGGAATTCAGATTTAAGTGATGAAAATAATTTTCTATTTCTACATTTATGATTTTTTCAGGTAAATGTACAATGTATTCAATGTGCACAATTGGCTTTGTCATATTAATCTTTTTCTCTAGACGCTTATATTATTTTGTAGGAATGCTACTTAAAGCTATGCGAGAATTGAATATTATAATACTCTATTTTATTATTTAATTTTTTAGAAGTTTGAATTTTAGATAAGTAATATTTTTCTTTTTGTTTATTTATTAAGTTTGGATTACTGTATATTTTTAAGTGTTGGGTGATTGTAATATTTTAGTATTTATTTTTCGTGCTAAATGATAATTTTTAGTGTGTTTGGTTTTAGTAGTATGATATTAACGTGCATGAAAATAATTATTTGAGATGTAAACTTTAATTTTTTGTTTGTGAAAAAATTCAAATTATAGACCTATTCTTAGTAAAAATTTGTGATTTATTCAATTTTAGTTGATTGTGTTGTATGAATGACAAATATTACTTCATTAAAAAAATTTATTGAGATGGCAAAAGTATTATTTATATTTATATTTAAGCCAGTTAATGGATTGAGAAGTCTCCAATAAATTTAGTGCTTTAAAAAAAATTGGAAAGTGTCAAATAAATTTAGTGACTTAAAAAAATGACTCAGTTGACCCGACCCGATTTGGGTTGGGTTGGTTTAGGGGAAGGAATCAGGTCGGGTCATGAAAAAGCCCAAAATCGAGTATTTCGAGTCGGATTGATTTTGGGCCAAGTCCGACCCGACCCATAGCCCACCCCTAGCTGCAGCTGGATTAAGGCGATTTGCTTTCACTGTTGTCACTTTTAGGTTAATTTGTCATACTCTTCTTTACTGATTTTTTCTATTATGATCTCTCCATGAAAATATTCGTCTTTGCTAGTTTTGGGTGTTGAAATGATTTTTTGGAGTTATTTTGTAGCCATTGACCTATGTTAAGTAATGATTTCCAATTTCCAAGAACCGGGCTTAGTTTACCAACCAAATCAACATCCAATCAATCGACCCAAAACCTTCAAACTACTCCTCACTTCGATTGCTTTCAATTGTACCCACTTAGGACACAAAAGGAAGGTGTTTTACAGCCCCAAAGTTGGAGCCACAAAGGCTGAAGAACAATGAGAAGATGAACAAGACAAATTACAAGCGGAAGCACAAACCACAAAGGAAGCAGTCGTGGCTCTCTCTCAATAAAGGGGCAAAACACACTTCTAAATGACAAAGTCGTGAAGAAGCAAGATATATAGGATCACTTAGGGTACAGTAATGGGCCTGTCCGACAGTAAAATAATAAATGGGTCAAATAAGTCATCCACTAAGTGAGGAACTGGACCATGAGCAACTCTAATTAATTAGATTGCTTCCACTTGCCCCCAAATAGTTCTAGGGTCGGGTCATCAATCTTAGGTGTCGATACAATACTTATCCAACATCGGTTTTACATTATCGCACGGATTTATTGAGTGTCAAAAAACCCAACAACCTGAGTTATTACAACATTTTACTAACAATATCAGAATGTCATTATGTTAATGTAATGAGCAAATCTTATATGATTGTGGACAGTAAAAGGTGGCTCTCATTCTGTTTGAGAGTCATGCTTTGTTACTATCTCTACTTAGAAACGCCAAGCCATGATTTTCAACCTGACCATAGGCTTGTCTACATCTGCAATCTTAAAAAGTAATTTTAGTGGCACAGAAATTTCGAATGATCCATAAAATGAGAAAAGCTTTTCAGATTATTCATATAAAGCTAGACACGTGTGTGTTCGATATTTTTTTATTTCTAATGGGGTAATAATCTTTAAATTTAGTAATACTTATATGTTCTCCCCTATTGCTTGGATGCTTAATACATGAACTTACATTGAACTTTTACATTTTTTAGTTATCTTGGGTGTTCTTATCAAATTTGTTTTGTTAGTTTAACTACGATGTACTAATTAATTTGTGAGTTAGGCTACAAAACTACTTATCAAATGAGACGACTTATTTTGTTCACTTGACATAAACTTGAAGCAAGGAAAAACATATTTCCATATCAGGAAATGGGCACCTGCCTGCTTTGTCCATCCAAAGAACTTGGATTACTAAGGCCCTCACCACCTTAAGTCACTCTCAATTATTTCACTTATACTGGATGGAGCCCGTTATCAAATGTAACATTGCCAACAAAAGTAGTGTGAGAATTGTGGAACCAGTATATGATGTGAGCTATATGTTGTCATGAATGATTATCTCGAATTTCCTCTTTAGGACATAATTTGGCTTCTAATTCAGTAACTGAAACTTTTATATATTCTCTATGAGCAATTTTGTTTTGGAATGCATTTTGGTCTTCTCCTGATTTACTTATTGAGAAAAATATTTGCTCCTGGTTCCTAAATGGAAATGAGAGAAGCAAAAAGGGAAATGATTGGAGATAATCATACCCTCGGGAATTTCTTTTCAGTCTTCAGAATGTATTATCCACTTACCCTGTTTCAAATACTCTATAGATGTTGCTAGGATGTTAATGGATGCTTGGCTTGTCTTGCCAGGCAAGCTGGCATGTGCTTGCTTTGTAGCGAACCGAGCACAAGCCAGCTCGCTTGAAGAAAATCTGGCTCGGGTTGCAAGCCGCTTGCTGTTCACAAAAATATATTTCAAATTAAAATCACCGCAATTATACGGTTCGTTAACAAGTAATAAAATTGATTTTGAGTTCAAGTATCATCCAACGGAGATTGATTAGTTCAATTTTAAATATTCGTGACCTTAACCAAAATAAGGATAATATGATGTGTTTATAACTGAATTATATCTAACTTAACCTACTTGTGCAATTATGAAAGAATTAACAAAAGTAAATGCAAATTATGTTGAAATCAAGTTAATGTGTTTTAATGAATGACAAACATACTAGGATTTCGAATTCTCATGCAATAATCAGTTTTAACTCTAGTTTTACACGTTGACAACACGATTGAATTTGACGAATCAATGTTCTTATTTTATTTAATCTCTCGAGTAATGATAAATCTACTTTTATATATGACCCAATTATATTTCTATGATGGATGAGAACATATAAAAGTGTGTGAATTTTTATGAAGACTTAAAAATTCAAATAAGGCATAGCGGTATATTTCTATCCTCTATCAGGACCTATGACAATTTATATATGTCAAAAATATCATCCTTCTTTCGAATGCATAATAGGTCACCTAATTCACACAATTACGTGCACAATAACTGTGGAAAAAATAAAATTATATAAATCGTTCAATATCCAAAATTTGCATTTCGACTTCAAATATATAAAATTAAAACTCATATCACATGGTTTATCGTTCTTCTGATACATAGAAAACTAGCCTAGCATATTATGAAAGAGAAAACAAAAGGAACATTGAAGAATTGACATCACCCAAATAATTCTTGAATTGATTCTCGTGTTCTTAGATTCGATCTTCGTGTTATTGGCTTCTTAATGCTCCAAAATCTCTTTAAAATATGTTGTAATGCGTGGTGCTTACTTCTCGATGGCCCTAGCCCCAGCCCCAAGATTTGTTTCCATAAGAGTTGTATTCAAATTAGGAAATCAGAAATTTTTCCCCGATTTGGCCTGGGCATAGTAGAAAATGGGGCGACCACCCAGATTTAGAAAATTGCCCATGTTAATGAGGTTTAGGGTCAAGCGGAATTGGACGGCTGCCCAGTTATAAAACTTTCACGAATTTTATTTTCAGCCATTTTCTTCATTCTTTCTTCCATTTTGGTCCTCCACATCAAATTACTTCAATTTTAGTGCTCTAACTTTTACTCAAATGCATATTAGTCCCTCAAACTTTGTATTTGATATAATTAAGTCATTTCTGCTATCTTTGCATTCTTTTTTCCAATTCTTCGGCAAATATTGAATTTTACCTACAAAATGAAATATAACACATTTTAGATAGTATTTTATCCAAAGAACAGTAAAATATCATCGTTTAGAACCTCGAATAAGTGTAGAACCTACACTTATCACTTGCCTCATTTTTTTTTAAAATTAACTTCTTATTTCTTTATTTTGAAAAGAAACATATTCAAATTCAGACAGCCTAACGCAGCCTGAATGTGATTTGGTGGCACCTGTCAGCCACCTATCATAGAGGTGGTTGCTTTTGCAGCACCTATGGTGTGGGCTCGCGAGCCAACCCATGCTAGAGGCTTGTCCCTGACTTGACTCTAGGGGGCTAGTGAGTTGCTCACCCCAATCTCCATCCGTATCTTTTGCATGAAAGTCTTGCTTTAGCCTTAACCTTTGCAATTTCAAATTACTTTACTGTTACACTTTTTGGGAAGAAAAAAGGCTTCAAAGTAAAAATTAGATTATTTTGATTATCTACGTAAATATTGAATATAGGTTGTTAGTCAAAGCTATATCTACAGTTTTGAATATGATAGTTAGTTATAGTTCTATTCATATCTAACTCAAATGTATGAATGATATCAATGCAAGACAATGCGAGTCTTTTGTAAGTTAAGCACTCCTTATTCCCCTCTTCTTTAAGTATTCCTAAAAGCACCGAGTACTTTCCGTCTTGTGATAATGTAAAGTTGAGCTTATTGCTAACTAAATTGGGAGTTTGATGTTACTCTGAATACTATTGGTGACACAGGCCCATAGGAGCAGTCATATACATGTAGCACAATAATCTGAAAATGTGTGTGAGGAGTACGGATAGTAGTGTTGATACCTC